CAATCCTTGATTGTGCTGCCTTATGGATGTTGCTCAATCTGACCAAGAATGTGAAAAGTAAAGATGAATAAAACATTGTGACAAGACTATTCAGAGTTGTTTGTTGTGAAGAGCACAGGGAGCAGACATGATACCTGGCAGCGGCGGAGAGGAGAAACTCCATGAATGCTGTACAAAGTCAAGTTGTGTCTCATTAAATGAGCTTTCCTAGAGTAAAACAAAAACATGGGAAGGGTGTTTAAGAGGGAGTGATACCGTGGAGGGAAATGGATGCAGCAGATCTCTGTCTGTCTCTCCTGCTGCCTTCATTTACCATCATTGATCGTGCAGCTGGGCTGAATTGATGCCTACCTGCTGTGCTTAGATGGTCAGTGTCTGTATTGATGTAGATGAGTGAGAGGGGAGCAGAGTACCAGCATCTCTTTAGCAATGCTCTTGGAGGCAGAGAAAGAAGGGAATCCTTAAAACGAGAAGACTTTATACCTCAAGAGGGGTAGCCACATCGCTAAAGATTCTGCTAGAATCTGCGAAATCAGCTTAGTCATTTGAAATATGGCAGATAGATGGAAACATGACACTATACAGGTCAGAAGCCTCATCTATAAAGCTTGCTTACACACAAAATGGGGCCTGAAAACAGCATAAGTGACTTTATGCAAACTTTGTGTTTTACAAAGAAAAACTTTGCAGAAAAATTTGCATAACTTTAAGCAAATTTTGGACCTGGCGTAAGTACATTTTGGCGATGGGAAACCAGGCAGCGCAGCCAGTGAGATGCTAGCATGTTTCATTTAGGACACATTTTCAGACTTGTAGAGCACAACTCGAGGGCAGAGTGCACCTGCAGCGTCGTCACGTTTCCTTAAACTGGCTCGTTCCAGCGGGAACTGGCCAACAGACAAGCTGGTAATATATTTATGAAATTGATATGATAATATTTATTGCCTGAAGACCCTTTTGGGTAAAATTAAATGTTTTCTTTAAAATTTCCCTTAGATCTGGAATAAAAATGGTAAAATGGTTAATGGCCTGCAGGTTCGATCCCGGCTCCGGACAGAGAATTCTGCTGTTGTGTCCTTGGGCAAGACACTTAACTCACCTTGCCTGCTGGTGGTGGTCAGAGGGACCGGTGGCGCCTGTGCTCGGCAGCCTCGCCTCTGTCAGTGCGCCCCAGGGCAGCTGTGGCTACATTGTAGCTCATCACCATCAGTGTGTGAATGTGTGTGTGAATGGATGAATGATACACTGTAGTGTAAAGCGCTCTGGAGTCCTTACACTGAGAGGCGCTATACATATAGCCACAGCTGCCCTAGGGCGCACTGACAGAGACGAGGCTGCCGAGCACTGGCGCCACCGGTCCCTTCGACACCAGCAGCCAAGAGAGGGTTAAGTGCCTTGCCCAAGGACACAATGACAGCGACAAACTGAGCTAGGCTCGAACCTGCAACCTTCGGATTACGGGGTGAGCACTGTGCCACCGTCATCCCTTGACTGAGTTATATCTGGAATAACTTAGCGATCCCTGCACAAACATGATAGTGCCATTATATTCATAGTATCAATCTTAGGCTCTATCTATCCATTTCATATTCAGTTTTTATTTTTTTCTCTGATGTAGGCCGTGTTCTCTTTGCGGTTTCCTAGGCCACCGCTGTAGCAACGAGGTGACACAAAAAATGTTCATGCCTATGTCACGCCTCAGAGCCTCAATTTTCGCATCGGTTGTCTTGGTTAATTAATATAGTTGTCCATTTATGGGAGAAAGTGGGTGTATTGGAGGCAGGATGCAATCCAGAAACACCTGAGCACATTTCTTGGACAGGTGTGATTTGTAAAGCAGAAACTGCGTGCAGCCATGCGTAAGCATTGCTTATAGGTTGGAAAATTTGTAGTTTTTATTTTTTTGCTGAGTGACAATGTGTAGTTTTTATCATTAATCTCTGGAAATATCCATTGAAATGTTGTTGTAAATGAGTTAAAAGATGCCCAGTTGAGGAAAAGTATTGGCATTTTCATAACATAAAACTATAAAACTATGTTCTAAAATACATGGGAGCGGGTCTAAGTGTCTGGGCGACGCCATATTGGATGCCATGTTTCCTTCTATGGAAGCCTGTGAGGAAAAAATTCATTTACTGATTAGTAACAAATGGTTACAAAATTTTCACCATTAATGAACGTCATGATGTTCTTGTTATTTTGCTGGAGGTTGTGCTTCCAGGGATTTTTGACCCTAGTGGCCATCCGTTGGTACGGTCTTCATTGAACACAAAAGAAATGCTTGATTGCAATCATTTAGGTATGTCACTATAAGTAAATAAGCAAAGTTTATTTATTTAGCACTTATCACAGAAAGAAAAGTCACAAAGTTCTACACAAAGAACAACAAAACAAATCATGAAGTCATAAAATGATCATTAAAAATCATTTATTAGAAACTTTCATTTTATCTGCAGAATTTATTATGTAATGTCAGGAAGTTATTATGAGAAAATCAGCATTGTCAGTGTTAAATATTTAAATAGTTAAGATATTGGTCTCAGCAAAATGTTATTGTGTAATTGTATTGTGCCATTATTTGTATCCCTTTCACCACCTGGCTTGATATAATATGGTTTTAACTATTAAGTAAACGTGCCCTTTAATCTCAAATTACGGTTGTGGTGAAAGAGGCATTCCAATGTATAGAAACTGTGTCTAGAAGTTTAACTTTGCGTCCCAAGAGGTGTCCCAAGGCAAAACAACAATGTGGTAAAGCACTATTTTTTCAGTTTTCAACTGGATAAAGAAAAACATTCACACACATTAAAATATATTTTAAGTTTCTGTATTAATCAAATGAGAATGGTAAGCACAAAAAAAATCCCAGTTCCAAATTACAGTAAGTTAACCTGTGTTTAGTTTTCTCTTAGAGCTTTTAGAAGTTTTATAGTGCACTCTTTATGTTTTATGCAAGCTTGCCTTAAAGTTTGGTGGCGCGCGTTGGAGCTCTTATCCTTTAATGGAAACATTAATCCTACCAGTCTGAGGTATTCCCTGGTCCCCACAATCGCAGAAAACGCAACACAATAGGGAAGATTTAAGCAAAAGCAGCTTTAAATAAAATGGTCTTTAGCTGCTTTTTAAAGGTGTCTAGACTGTCAATACTACGTAATGATAAAGGAAGTTCATTCTAAAGTTAGGGAGCTAGCCTTCCCTGGAGGTAGCTGCTAATACTAGCTCTGACGGCTAATGCTATCTGTCAACCAAATCTAATTATTCATAATTTCAAGCATTTAATTACACCTAAACCCAAAGAGTTACAAAAATTCACCTCCCTGAGAGTTGGCATGAATGTAAACTAGACCTATTAAACTTATAATGTATTTTTGAACGAGGCTGTTTTTTCCTGCTGTGAAGTAGACGTTATTTTACATGGGAGACAGTGGCGATTCGTCCATAGAGGGTGCTAGGGCCCCACCCCACCAGTCTCAAAGGAAGAGGAAGGAGATAGGAATCATAAAATATAAAAAGAAAAACATGAAAATTAAACTAAACGATCGATATATCATACAGATTATAAATGCTGTGTATGATCTGCATTTGAGTGTAGTTTAAAAATGTTCTCTCACACTTTTACCATGACCGAATCATTTTGTCACGTATTACCTGTTACTTTTTGGGCACAGCAATCTGTACAACAGACCTACGCTATAGCTGGCGCATGCTTGCTGGATCCCCCTCCAATACAAAGAATAGGAGCCTTTAGTCACAGAGGTTTGCGATCAAAACATGTGCAGAAGACGATCCGGGCGGAGTCTCAGATCAGGATGTTCACCCGGAATTGGAAGCTTTCCACAGTAATTTATTTATTTTTTATTTTTTAGTTCTTTGTTCTTGTTCGTTGTAGAGCAGCTGAGTACACCTCCTGGAGTTTTTTATTATGGGGAACCATCGCACAAGTTGCCAGCTGAAAGACAATCGCCCATGCAGTAATTATCCAATAGGAGGCTTGTAACTATTTGCTTAGTTAAATCCTGTCTGTCTATTTGTAAATTAGGGATGTGAAACTTACAACAACTCAATTTGATTCCAAGTTTTGGGGTGACAGTTAGATTCAGAATCAGTTGGCTGAAAAATGTCTGAAGCTGGAGTTGGTCGTGAGAGTGTTCTATCAGCTTGAGCTCTCTCAAGCCTACTGGATGGCCACAGACCTCTAAATCACTCTCATGTTCACTATTTTTAATCACGACTACAATGACAAAAGACTCGTCTACAACGGCTGAAGAACAGCATACCAGGCTTGAAAAGCTTTAGATATTCTTAATGATCTTTTTTTGGATCTATGCATAAAAAACTGCTCATTGTGTTGGCATCAAAAAGCCAGTTTGTTCTCCATTATCCCACTTTTATTACATTGTTCAGGTTGGCCTTGCTCCTGTTTTTCACTCTGCCATCTGTACACAGTTAATTCTACAGCTAACCATTTTTTCTTACCCCCTCCCTCTGACCATCCATTTCCTTAACTCTGTTTCACTTATTTCCTTTCTTTCTTCTCTCCTGTTCTCCACTTCCAGCCACCCATCCATCCTGCTCTCTTCCCCAGTCCCTCTCCCATGGGCGATGTGGACAGTTGGGTGTCTTTGTGTTTGACGTGTGTGAGAAGGGCACACACACCCACACCCATAAATGCACATGCACACACACATATCCAGCCTTTATTGTCAGTAAGATGCTCAGCTGTGAGGCCCCTGGCCCTAATGGCCTGTGTGTGGGGTGAGGACAGGACCTCCCATTGTCCTGCAGATTAACTAACACGCACGCATGCACGCACGCACACACACACACACACACACACACACACCCACACACACACACACACTCTCTCTCTTTCTCTCTCTCACTTGCACATACACACATTTCCCCAGACCTCATGGGGTCTCTTAAGTGTGAATGTGCCTTCAGGCAGAAAATCATGGGGTAATTTACAGCAGGGCCCACTCGATGAGAGGGGGGATGGACTGCAGCCCTCAGTTTGAAGCTTTAATGTCATATTGTGTCTTTTGTTTCTCATTCAGGATGATAGAAGTCAGTTTGAGGTCTACTGTGCTTCAGTACAATAATGAAAACTATCCACAAACTGGAAATAAAGAAAACCAAAAGTGACATAAATTGAAAAGAAAACCAAAGAGGCAAAAAGCTTCAGAATAGATGAAAAGCAGTTTGCAGCTTTTCTCAGAAAAATAAACAATGAAGTTAAACTGAGGACAGTTTTCAGCCGTTTGAAGACACATTTAAAAACCAAGGTAACAGATTAAGTATGCAAGTGGCATGCATTTCTTCAAGCTATTTAGCAAACATGTCCCTAATTTAAAGCAGGACAGCAAAATCAATTATAGTGATCACTGGTTTGAAGAGGAACTAAAACCCGTAAAAGCCTGTAATCCAACAAATTAGGGAGCTAGGGATATGGGTCTGTGTTCATTTAAGTGTAAATATGTGGAAGGAAAGAATATTAAATATTAAAAAGAAACAAAACTGTCTAGTGACATAGGTCTTATTGTTTGAAGTTGCTGGATGAAAATTTCTGAACAAATTTCTGCTGATAGGATATTAGCTTTCTAATTAAAATACCATTGTCTGACTGTATGTGCCTCTTTGAAACATTTGTAACATTTAAAGAGACAATCGCACAAACTAATGACAGTTGCATGTATTGACACTGGTTTGAGCGTTCTCCTTGGGGCTTTAGACCATTCCCATCTGCCTTATTAGAAAACCATTGTCTTCATTGTGTCCCTATAACTCAAATTCTTGTTTTTTTTTTCAAATGGTGCATCCACCTCTTACTTCTAAAGCCCCCAATAGATAAAATGCAAATATGGTTTTATCCACGCAAAAACTGCGTTTAGGTTTGAAGTGACAGTGTGTAATCTTCCAGGCGATGGGGGCAGTAGATACCTAAATTTTGCAAGCAAGCTGTATTTTGGTGTTGGAGTAAGACCTTACCAATGGACGCCCATTAGGGTCAAAAGGCCCAGGGAGTTTATATTTCAGCAAAATAACACGGACATCAGATTCCTTTTCATCACTGGCAACGAGTGAAGAGGTAAATGTGTAAAACAACAACATTTATTAATGGTGAAAGTTTTGTAACCATTTGTTACGAATCAGTAAATGTGTTTTGTCCTCAAAGGATCCCGTAGAAAGAGACATGGCATCTAATATGGCATCGCCCAGAGACTTAGACCCACTCCCATGTATTTTAGAACAGATTTTATGGTTATACAGTATGTTATGAAGCCGCCAATATTTTTCAACAACTGAGCATCATTTAATTCCTTTTCAACAACATTTTAGTGGATATTTCTAGAGATTAACGATAAAAACTATACATTGTCACTTTAAAGGTTCTTTGAACCATAGAATTTCACTTTTGGCTTAAAGCCGTTTCCAACAGCCTTACTGGTTGAAATCGGAATTACAGCTGTCGTAAACAGCTCTGCTGTAGCTAGAGCTAACGATGAGCTTACGCTAACATGAGTCAACTGATACTAAATAAGCCACTAATTAAAAGGATCCACACTGTTAGACAAAAAGTATTATTACTTACAAATCTTGCAAATATGTGATTATGCAAACATGACCTGGTCAAATCACATGGGTATTGTAAGTAGCAGTTTCCTCTGATTTCAGCTGAAAATTAGCATATTTCTGTTCTTTTCATTTTTATTTTTTTGCCTCCAACAGAGTCTAAAGATACTGGCTTTACTCAAACTTCTCTTGTTGTACACTATCAATCTTCTCTCTTTGACCTCACCATCTTGTTTACTAACACTATTTGTGTTCTGATTCTTTGCTTTTCACTATTTAGTTCACTATACATGTCAGTGAACAAGCAAATGATCAAACAATCAGGTGAACAACTCCGACCTGAACGTAAATCCTCGTAAATTCAGAATGTAAAGTGCTGTAAAGTTGCGTTCCAATATGCCGTCCAAGCCTAAGACACATTAATGATGGTTGTATGTAGTTTTTATCTATGACATAGAGGAATAAATATCTTGCATTTCTCAACATGTTTTCCCCTTTCTTTGTAAGTGTGTAATGTTTGCTTCTGCAAGAATGTGGTAGTTAGGCAAGACGGTTTCCTTTGACTACTACTGCTTCTAAATGCATCCTCCCTGTTAATTGTAGTTGTGTGAGAAGAGAAGTCAGACGAACCATGAATTACCATCTCTTACTGCATGTTACATTTGAATGCCTGAGCTGACATGATGTAATAATGTGGCCACTGTACAGTAGGACATGGGGTTTTGTGGGGAATTTGGTTGTTTTGTGGCGACAGCAGTCTTGCGAAAAAGGAGTCTTGTACAGGAATTGAGCGGTCTCAGTCCTTCCTGCATCATTTCTGTCTGTAGGCTGACTCATGTCTTTGTGTCTGTAAGTGTTTTATGCTTGAAGGTTTATTTTTCAAAGAGAAAATTGATGAAACCATGTGTTAGGAACCCATTAATGTCTGTTATTCTGTAAACTATTTGTGTAACTGCAGGAAACCTTTTCAGAAGTTTTATCATGAATTAATGGTGATGTATCGTCTTCTTAAATAGATGTTCCCATTGTAGTTAAATGTGTCCACCATCACCTTTTATGACATAGAATTAAAGGCCAAAGGGCAACTCTAGGAGCTGGGATTTGGCCTAAGCAGCGCCTGTATGGAAGCCGGTGCCATAATACTGTGTAGAACCCTTTGTGGTCCTGAATTAATTCTGACCCCTTCAATAATAGAAATGAGATCTCTGGAGGTGTCCTGTAGTGTCTGCCAGATATTTTGAGTCACACAGGCTGCAAGGTGAGGCCCTCAGTGAACTGGACTCGTCACCTGTAAACCTGCACACACGGGACGGGACTGGCCTGTATCACCTTAGTGGCTTAAGAGTGCACATGCTCTGCTCGTGCGGCACATGTTGGTTAGTGTATGTGTGTGCTTGTGTATGGACGGACACGTGTGTGTGCCTCCAGCAGACGGGGGAGGGCTAGGTTGGCTTGGTTGGTTGTCTCTGTGTGAGTCCTTTGTATGAAGGAGGGGAATCAGAGAGGCGAGGGAGGAGGTGAACCGGGTGTTTCTGTCAGCTGCCGGCTGGTCTGGTTGCTGTTGGTAACTTTGCTTGATGAGATCAGAGGGGATCGGCTTTCAGACCTTCATGCCTAGTGCTTCCTCTCTCTTGCTCTTGCTCGGTTTCTCTCTCTCTGTCTCTCTTAGCTGCTCAGTGGCTCATTCTCGGAAAGACCAAAGTGGAACTGAAACCAGAGTGGGACCAAAACTGTGTTCAGACCTACTAGTGGTTCACTGATTACGTCATGACTGCGCTGCCTTACAAGCACAGTTGGAGCTGACGTGAGCGGGGGGTAGGTGAAGAAGAAGTGATAGCCTTAGGACAGATAAGCTCCAGGGAGAGGAAAGAGGGAGGTTACAAGGGAGAGAGGAGGTGGAAGAGAAAGAGGTGGGCAGCTTGTTCTCTGTTTCAGTCAGACTTACGGACGGCTGGTCTCTTCCTGCCTGTGTCTTCTTGAGTTTTTTGCCAGCTGGTGACTGAACGGAGGAGTTCAGCAGCTGTTTATTGTTTGTTTGCTGTTTAGAAGTGAACATGGACTCTGACTGAACACTTACACTCGGCGGGACATGAAGAGAGTCATCGGAGCTTTAAAGTAAGCAGTTTGATCTGTTTGTTATCTACCAGCCGTGGGATGTTTCCATTGAGACAGATTGTTAATCTTTCAGGAAAGAATATATACGGTACTTGTATAACCGTGAAAGTCACAGATTTTGTTGCTATTGTTCATGACGGTGATATATGATACCTGAGGGTAAAGTATGATTTGTTTTACATTATGTTTACATTAGAGAAAATCAGCCTCGCTCTGCTGCTTCTGTTAACCATCTGATGTTATAAACCCGCTGATTTCTCCCACAGCTGATGCTACATCGCTCTAAGAATCTCCTCTTTCTGCTGCTTTTCTTTCTTGATCATTTTGTCCAGCCTTTAATTCCCCTAATGGTTTGGGGGGCTCAGCTGGCCAGCTGGGATACCCCCATATGTGTGTGTGTGCTTTTGTTTGGGACAGTTATGTTGAGAGTTGTAGAATAAGCTACCTCTGGATTTCCCCTGCTAACATACAATAATAGAGTAGATCCTGCTGTCTATTTTTAACATACAGTTTTTGTTTTTGTTACAGACACCTCCAATCAGACTGCATGCTCTTCTCACAGCATTGTGTTTAGTCTCAGGACTGGATTGGGAGTGTGTATATGTGCGGTGTGTCCAGGGATAAAGAGATATCAGTTCTCCGTTTTGACTTTATCCCTGTGTTTTGTCAGCTGGTGACCTCTGTTTCTTTCACTGCGTTTCTGTCTTTCTTTCCGTCACCTCTATTGTTTTTTTCATTCACTCTCATAACTCACATACATTTATGCAGATGTTATCCATCTCGGGCTGTTCCTGTTGCTAGTTTTTTTTTAGGGTAGTTAGTTTTGACACTTCTTTTAAAATCCCATTGCCATTCATCTTTTTTTCAGTTTCTTGCTGGTAGCAGTTCGAGAGCACTGGAGAGCTTTCCTAAGATCATGCTGTTGTGAAAGCGTGCGTCCTGGTTTGAGTGTGAGAGTGCAGCGTTGTGTGAATGAACCTTTCCCCATCGTGTCTTCCTCTTATAGAACAATGGCAGTTGGACCCATGTGGAGAAAGCAGAAAACAGTTACCTGAAAGTCATTCTCTGAATTGAAGGCCTAGACCGCCTTGAAGGAATGCATGCTTTTCATGCCAGAGTCTCATTCCAAGATCTTCTTATATTGAGTTAGAGCAGTTTTGGCTAAATCTGGTAAACGCACATACTGTCACATAATATTATGAAATAACGTTAGCCAACATATTTGTTGTGAATTCCTCCCAGCTTCTGTCACATCACATTTTAGCTCAACATCTAAAGTAAACCGCATGATATCCATCTTTTTCTTTACTGATTTCAATGGCGGCCTTCTTGAATTGAATCTACTTGCTTTGATGGAATCTGTCCTCTGACAGCAGTAGCTCAGGAGGTGGAGTGGGTTGCCTCATGATCAGAGGATTGTTGAAATGACTCCAGCTCCTACCAGGGGCACTCTGCTGCCGTGTCCTTGGGCAAGGCACTACACTCAACTTTTCTGTGCTGGTGGTGGTAAAAGGGGCCGATGGCGCAAGATGGCAGCCTCACCTCTGCCAGACCGCCACAGGGCGGCTGTAGATACATAGTAGCTTACCATCATCAACAGTGTGTCAGTGTGAGAGTGTATGAATGCTGGTGAGCGCTTTGAGTTCCTAGAAAAGGTGGATCGTGTTGTGAAGCGCCTTGGGGGGCTATAGAACCCTAAGAAGGCACTACATCATACCATTTTATTTTTTTAACTTTCATTAGATGTTTTGCTGAAAAATACAAACAAAATGGCAAAATATTACCTGTATTCTCCTTTCAAAGATTTGTTTTTTAATAGTTTATTGACATGAAGCTAAATAGACCCCCAAATGATCTGTTGTTTTATGAATTGACATAGAATATTACTAAAAATGGTTTGCTCACAAAAGACATAGCTTGAAAAACAGAAGCTATAAAATCTAAAGTGAAAGTAGGCAGTTTAATATGTAACATGCTGATTCATCAGGACTTTGGACAGTTTATTAGGTTAACTCTGGAACTTCCAAGGAAGTCATTTAGACTGGTTTTATATTTTCAGGTGTAAGAACTTTAGTTACACAGATCTTATTGTCCGTGCTTCCTGACTTTTCCTGTTTACGTATGTCCTTTAGTTCCATGTTATTATATTGATTAAAAAAGATTAAATAAAAGAAGTATTGTAATTTTAACTGCTGACAGCTCTATTCACGTTGTAAATTTTCCCAGCAGATGATGGACTGCTTCACCATTACCCAGCAACCAACATTCTAGCTTTCAGGCTAATGCTCTGGTCGTATTCCATGTAAAATAAATGGCTTTTAGAAGAAAGTTGGTGATGAAACAGTCATTAGGGAAGATGCTGCTTCAGACAGAAAGGGGAAACTTGACGATAACTGCAGTAAGCGTCTGATATTCCGACAGCAATACAGAATATGATCACCCACCCACCCAGCAAAAATGGAGCCATGTCTGTCACCCAGCTAACAATAGGAAACTTATATTCAAGGTTTGGATTACAATAATAATTTTATACCATATTATTAGCTCTACATATCTATAATAAGTTAGCTTAACAAGAACCATGATAGTGTTTTGGATCATTAAGCTCATGTTTTTCTGATGACTTAGTAATGTGATTACATTCATTGTTGTGAAGTTAATTGTCTTAAATATAAACCATTTACACTTGAACAACCAAAAGAAAAGACAGGTGAATGGTATCTTTGATGACACACATCACAGGGGTGTGTATTGGCAATAGTCTGGCAATACGATATTTATCACCATACACGATATATTGCGATACTGAATTTTTTAGACTGAGTTTAAGTGGAAAACTCAGGCCAGATGCTTAAAAAAACACATCTGGTGTTATAGCGAATCTAGTTTCATCAGCATGAAGGCAGTAAAATCTGCTGCCACCTAGCTGTTGGAGTTTCAGTTGCACCACACAAATAAAATACAGTAAACACTTTCATGTAAATCCTCTAAATAAAATTGATACACTGCTTTCAGCATTTAAACATTTCAGTATTTTGGTAGCCTGACCTTCCAGACTCGTCCTCTGTTCTAGACAGAGGACAGGTTTGGATACTCAGAGGCAAAGAGCACCATGAGGGGCAGGGCTAGTCCGTTCAAAAATAACCAATCAGAATAAAAGTGGAAATGACGACTGTATCTCTCTGTCCATTTTTAGCTGTAGTCAAAGATGGCGTCTGGCAATGGTGCAAACATCTTTATTTAGAAGAAAAGCTTTTAGCACTTCTTCTTTTTGTTGTTTTAAAGACATGTTCAAGTCATTTAAAAGAGGAAAGAGCCACAGCAAACTCCGTTTTATGAGAAACTGAGCGTTGCGGTGTGTGATGGACGCTGCTCAGTGCTGATTGGCTTGGTTGTTGTTCTCAAATGAGCTATTTTCAGAGTTGTCAGTATAAGAAGAACATCACCCCAAAACCAAGGACATTACTGAGAAGAAAGAGAGTTAATAGATGGCACAATCAGGATCAGGATAAAACTGTTATCACAATGAATACATTAGAGGCCTGAACAAAATGCCAAGAACAAAACTCACATAACTAACACTACAAGTGTTAAAGGTAAGTATCCAAAATCATTTCACACAATCTTCTGAAAAATAAAAGCAATTGTATTATTTAGCACTGTGCTTCAAGAGGAATTTTATCACTGCACTACATGTTTATATCTTAGCATGCATTCTGCTCTAAGGAATGCAGTGGAAAAATGTAACCTTGCAGAGCTGCACATGCTGTGATAACATTGGTTTTTGTTAAATGATAAATTAAAATGCTTAATGAATTCTTTGTTTAAATATAATGTCCCCATTAGTGACCAACTGTCTTCATGCGAGTGTGGTAATTAAGTATGGAAACTGACCTTGCTGAACAGCTGAGATAAAAATGCACAAAATAATGCAGGATGTTTACCCTTTTCTTATCTTTTAGTGAACATTTACTTGAGTTTTCTAAAACCGTCGAGTGAGACCAGTCAACAAAATATGACCCAAATGCTTTTTCTTCATCCAAGAGTTAAAAATGTTCTTGGGTTGTGTTTGACTTGTGTGAGTGTGACTCAGTTCCTCACACTTACTCAAGTAGTTTAGGTGCTAAACAAGTGAGGCAACAAGAGTGCATCATATCGAAGCGGACTTTGATTCACGTTCATTACTTCTGCGGTTGTGAATCCGCCATCTCTACCCTTGATAGCTTTATGGGTCGCATCACCAAGGCTCTCCGTGCGTCCATGTGTGTTTGAGCAGGATGAGCGGATTGTGACTGGTTCTCTTTATAGGAGTGCTCGATTACTGCTCTCTCAGTGCATCGTGGATTTTTAGGTATCGAGGCACACAAGTATATGAATGTACGAATAGACAGCGTGTGTCTTCATAAATCTTTTCAATTTCTTCTGAGAGTTCCCTTAATTTAAAATTTTAGGCAGCGATTTTCTTTCAGTTCTTTGATTGCCAGTGATTCAGTTCAGTGTTTAAAAACAGGAGCTTGGGAGTTTTAGGAGGGAATTTCTTTTCATTTCAAGAGGAAAGCAGAATAATGCGTGCAGAGGAGGAGGATGTGGGAGTCGAAACATGATTCATTAGGGAAACGCCACTTGCTGGAGCAACTTTGTATGAAGTTCAGATTAAGACGGAAGAGAGAAAGGAAGGATTTGTGCTTTGGGAACATATAAGAAGTTAGATATTTTTACAGAAACGGACAGAAACTTCCACGATGCACAATTTCTATGTGAGTAGGCTTGTGAGCATGTGTGCTGAATCTAGATGTGAATTTGCTTGTCTTGTTTTGCAGAGTGAGCTTTCCTTAATGCTGAGCTTGCATTGATTGTCTCATAGTAGACGCTGGGGCATTTGGTGATAGATATACCAGTTGATAGCGTGTCAGCTCTGCAGGAGTCCCCATGGATTTATTGGTATGTTAGTCAGGAAGCCCACAGCAGGGAAATATGGATCATAGAAAATAGGGAAAGAA